CTGAAATTTAGTGCCTAGATAACATGCTTTCCAGACTTGCTTTTAAATTAATGAACAGTGATTCCACAGATTTTAACAAGATGAGCCAAGATTGCATTTTCGACAAATCAGTCCAAGAGATGGGAGAAAGGTCTCGTTCTTACAGCTAGTTCTTACAGCTTTCCTTGTATTTAAGTAGCAAGATAACAGTTCTTTCAATTGCTCACCGTCCTGGCAAAATTCAAGGTATTGCTGATTTTGCTGCAGTTGCAGTATTAACACCACTCTTTAATCATTAAGGCATTAAATGCTGCTGTCAGCTGCTTCACACACTTGGTGTGCATGAACGTGATCTGTTAATCAGTTCTTGGAGCCATGCATATGCAATAATTATAGTTAATTATAATCTAATGATAATTATGAAAGGAGATCAGCCCAAGCCATAAAATGGAAATTTAGACATTTACTATGTTAATGAGAAGATTTGGTGAAGGTAAAGGGCTTGATTTTTTTTTTTTTAATTTTCGCTACCACAATAGTTTGACAGAGTCTTAGTGAAAGTCTTGTTAAAATTAGTATAGATACACTTAGCATCCATATTATGATTTTCTTACTGCAGATCGCTATAGATGAGATTCAGGCCCAAAAGGTCATGTCATTCACGTAATAAATCACTGCCTCAGAGAAGCTGAGACAGTAGAAAACAGGTTGCAGGAGCCCTGAGGGGTGAGTTTGTCCACAGGCATGCTAGAAAGTGTTTTGAACTATATATAAAAACATTCCTGATAGGTATTTGCCTGAGGACAGTTTTGCAAAAGATGCAAGCGGGATTTCTGCTGAGGAGAGGGGAGTATTCCCCTTTATTTCGATACTGCAGTTAAATTTCAGACACGAGTATTTTCTTGGTGTGCACAGAGGTGCTGGGTACAGTTGCATCAGGGCATGATGTTCCTGACACCGATAAACCGGGAACCGAGCGCTGTTGCTGTGCTAGCTCTGCAGTCGTCTTCTAAAGGCTTTATTGAAAAAACAAACCAATTAAGTAATATTGGGAATCATAAAAAAGATTTAATGTTTTCTGTGACCAAGATTCTACATTAGCATTTAGCTTCTGCTGGGGAGACAGTTGCGTTTTGTTTGTTTGTTTACATCTGGGAATCAAATCTTGCACATTGTGCAAATAACTTAATCTTTATGGCTGTTATCGCTGCATAGAAAGTGTTGCTGTGTTGATACCTGCTGGCTAAGTGAAGCAGGAAGGGCTACGTTTATGCACGTTACTGTTTAATGTATTTAATGGAAATGAAAAGTGAAGTAATAAATTAGGGAAAAAACACACTAGAATTATTCTTCTTCAGTTTGGAACAAGGAATCAGTGTTGCAGGATCCTGGTTAATCACACTTTAATGACCTGGATACACTGAAACGTTCCCCTCTCCCTTTCCCCCTGCTTTGTGTTTTTAAATGGAAACAGTGAGTTTTGCTGTTGACTGGAAGGCTGAGTTGTAGAAAGTTTTCTTGTAATGGGGCTGAAAAATTATTTTTGGGGCACTCCTGGACACAGTTCTTGGTACAAGAGTATGGAGGGAGATGGGATGGACAGGAGCTCTGTAGTTAGAACAACTTTTGGATGTCTCACACTCTCACTTCAGTGTTTTTTTCCCAAAAAAAGCACTTTCAGACACTGGAAACTGACATTACTCATGAAAAATCTTTTTAAATTTTTAACTGTTTTAAACACTTTTTAAAAAGTTAACTTTTTAAAAGGCACATTAGCACAAAAACAAAGGAATTGTAATACTTGGCTGCGTGACTAAAGATGCTTGGAAGTTAATCAAATATTTAAATGTGTAAATTAAAATTATAGCCTCTAATAACATTACAATCCTAATTGTGGAGAAAATCAAACCATTAAGCCAGTTTGTTTACCAAGCATATATGACCGACTCCTGCCACAAGACCTGTGGAATCTCTCTTTGTTCAGGGGAAAAGCGACATGGCACATTGTTAGATGATTACCTTCAATTGCAAAAATAGATAAGATGTGAGCAAAGGAATCTATTATGTTTCCAGACTGGAGCCGTATACAGTTTTCTGTGGTTCCTACTATGTGACGTATCAGTTATGATTGCGTATTAGCCCTCTGTGTTAAAACATTACTTGACTGTGTTCTCTGACTCTTGGCTTGAAGCCTGCAATATCCTATCTGCAAGCGGCGCAGCTCAGAACCGTTGCCATGGGACACTTCAGTCGTTTCTGGTTGCAAAACATGGCAAGCGGTGGTAAAAGCCTGCCCGACTCTGCCTGATGCCTTCGGATTCCCAGCAGGAACGTCTCTTCTTTCCTTTTGGTTGTGTCTTAATTAAACCGTGACGAGACATATTGGCCCTCGCTGCGATGCCTGATGCAGGCATCTGATTGCCTGATGCTCCTTCCATAGGTTGCAGAGCAAGCTGGGGCAGAGGATCATTTGCAGAGGGTGATGTGGACCACGTGAGATAGGAAGGACAGGCAAGCTCTTGTTTATCTCGTGACTATAGTGGGTGATTGAAGCTGAATGGTTTCTTGTGTAGACTTTTATGGCCACAAAAGTCTAACTTGAAACTGATGATCTCTGTGCCTGCTGGGGCTCAGATCAAAGTCTCTCCTGGAAACAATCATCCAAAATCTGCCTCAGTCAGACCTTTGACAAAGCCTTTGATTTGAAAACCTGCTGGTCTCAACTGGGATGACATAGCATATGTTGGTTTTCGAATCATTCAAATATTCAGTTGCAGTATGTTGAGCAAAATATAGTTTGTAGCAAGAAGTGCAGCAATGATTGACTGTATGTGCGTCATGTACAGCTGAGTGTCGGTTCTAGGAGAAACCGAAATGTTAGGCCAAAAGCTTTAAAATCAATGTTTTAATATTAGATTCCTGTGTACTTCTGTATTTAGACTGAGAGAGGCTCAAACGTTGCCTCTCAGAGATGCTGATTGTAGGAATCCATCCAACTGCTCCCTAATGATCAGAGAAGCACTGCTGAAAATTGTTGTCACTTTGGTCCCTATGCTTGAGTTTTTGTGCACCTAAGCTGGAAGGTGTTGGATAACAGCTTTTACAAGAGGGGAACCAGAGAGCTTTTTTTTTTTCAGTAACTTCCACAATAGATAAAGGATTTCGCTCTCGGACTATTTCTAGGGAAAGTAAAATCAGGAATTAAGACACAACACTGTCTAGAATCCCCTGGTCTGTCAGAAATCTCTTCTCGCTGTAGATGTTGCAGTAGGTTACTGCTAACCATTGTTGCTAACCTGTATTCCTTTCAATTTCCTCTTGCAGTAATGCGTAGAAATCCATTCGGGATGGACATTTGCTGCAGGAAAGGATCCAGAAGCCCACTCCAGGAACTGTATAATCCCACCCAGGTGAGTGTTTCATGGCTATGATCAAACCTTCCAGCCCAGCGTACAAATACAGTCTTTCTTGAAGGTATTTTGGTCTGTTTTTTCTCATTTATATGCCGTAGCTACCTTCAGCTTGGAGAACTGATCCTGAGACCTGCAGAGTTTAGCCAAAGTTCTACAGTTCGAGCTAAGGGCCTGATTTTTAAAGGTTTTTAGTCGTCTAATGATGTGGACTCCTCTAAAATTTTTTCTTAGGTACCTAAAAGCCTTAAAAGAGTATCTTTAGCTCTCCTAGCTAGAAGCTGAGGCATTGTAATTTACTCTGTCGATCAACACACAGAATGGCAGGGTGGGATGAGAGAATGTGACATGATATACATGAAACAAGGAGTGTGGTAAGACCGTAAATTGCAATGATAATATATTAATATCATTTATATGACTTTCAGGTAGCCAGCTGCCCTTCCTGTCCTGTTTCGTTGCTTGTGTGGAGTCCAGACAAACACAGTAGCTCACACTCTTCCTTACACTGCATGTTATTTAACACCTGATGGTCTTGATGAGAATATAGGATAATCTCAGCTAGAGTTGTTCTTGTGACAAGCAGTGCAGGAAAGTTACCTGAAATTCGTGCTCCCGTTCAGTCTTCTAGATCAATTTATTCCCTGCACGTGGGCTGAATTGGCACATTCAGAAGCAGCATTTCCTGTTGGCAGCCGAGAGGAAGTGCTGCCATTGACAGAAAATGCCAGCTGACTATTAAACATATTTATTAAGGTTTAACAACCACCTATTATATATTTATCCATCAATGAATACATTGAGTTTTACTAAATTGGCTATTAAGGAAAGTGACTATCCCAATAAATCTAACTTGTTAGATTTAACAAGGCAGTGAATGTTTTAAATACTGTTTGATTATGAAGAGACTCACTACATAGTGTGCAAAATGAAGTGTAAGTGATTTAAAGTATTTATATGAAGAATTGACAACAACCCAAAGATATGTGATATCTGTTATGTAGTGCAGTAAAGCTCCATTTGCTCCATAGTGTTGTTTTTATGCACATAGGCTGACTTTCTAATTCAATTTGAATTCTGTGCATGGCTGGGAACATGAGTTTACCATACTAATATACTGGCCTTTATTGACCATTATGGGAGTTAGCATTGTGTGAATGGAAAGTGCCTGTAAAAGCCCTGAAGAGGAACAATCCAGTGCTACAAAGGAAAAATATTAGCATTTGCAGGTTAAATGTAAAGACTTTTTGCGGGTACTCAAGAAGGGCAGGCAAGGGAAAAGAGGCTGGCTGACTAATTATTCTCTCTGGGTTCTGCTGTGTGTCAGTCAAAAGCCCCTTGCCCTTTAACATCATTAAAGGACATCCCATAAGAACGATATGTCTCCATCCATTGAAGGGCTGTAATCTCAGAGCCCTTGTAAGCTTGGTCAACTGAAAAGATTTCCTGAGCTTCCTGAAGCAGGGGACGCAGCTGGCAGCTCCTTCACTGCCTCTCCTTCCTTTCTGCACACCCTGACCAAGCAAACCATTAACATCCCTTTCCGGGCTTGCCTACGAGGCAGCCAGAAAAGTTGATATTTGAAGAAGCGTGGCAGTTCTTGCAGTCGATGTTGAACTAAGCAGATGGCATTTTTTCACACCAAAGTGTTTCTATCAGCTCGCTGGCATCTGTTACTATCAAGCTTTTTGGTTTTGTTTCTTTCTTTGTTCTTAGTTGATATTTGTTCGCTTTTTGGATGGGGCTTTGCATGCTGCACTCAATACTAGGGGAACTGGCAATAGAGAAGCAAGTGTATGTGTTTTAGGCAAACAGTGACAAGAAAAGGCAGTGAGTAGAGGCTGCCATAGAAGACAACAGACTGGAGATGACCCCTAGAATATTTCTTCAAATACATAGTTCATCTTTCCTTTTCCATTTTTGCCCAAAGAGATGTTTGTCTCACCTTTCTTAAGGTGGCAGGTTAGAGACTGGTCTGTATTCTGGCAGTAGGGTGCTTGTTCCACCAAAATTCTCCAGTACTTGTGATGGTACGAGGATAGGGATCGGACCCCTAATCTTTCCTTGCTAAATCAGTCACAATCAGCCGTTTGTAAAGTCATCTCAGAAGTGAATATGTAATAAATATATGAGAAAGCATTTTTTGGCCAAAATATCTCTCTTGCTGATCTAGATAATGAAAATACTGGTAGGATCTTTAACCCTTGGCCATCAGAACCTTTTGGATTCTCAGTGTTGTGAACCACCCACGTTTTTCTCCTGGGTGCCGATGGCTGTGTGTGCCATCACAGGAGCTCTTTGGCACTCAGTTTAGTTGCCTCAGAGAAATGGTGGAGCTGATCGAGGAGATATTTGTAGTTCTCCTTGTAGTTCGAAGGAATCTGTATAATTCAAACACCAGACTTAGGCTGCTGGAAGATGCCCTGCAGCTATGGTTTGGGATTACTACAAGCTAGGTGCAGTTTGATTTTTTTTTTTTTTTTTAAGGGTGGGAAACTTTAAATATTTAATGTGTCCATGTGCATGTTTTTTACATGATATAATCTAACAGGAGAACCTAACTATGGCTCGCCATCCTCTGCTATAGAGTGCACTGTACATTTCACTCACTTCAGGTTTCCTCATGTAGGCAGCGATGTGCAACCATGACTCCTGCTGCTGCTGTTCCTGAGAATGTCTCCAGGACCCTCAAGAGAGGTGGGCAAGGGAGGCAGCTGTATGGGGCTCCCTGCTTTGAGATGGTGTTAAGGGCCTATATGTCTTGCATGGAGCATGCTCCTGGCTGTCCCCTATCAGGGGAGATGAGAGTTTGGCCATCGATTGAAATAGATGCCAGATAGGGTCAATACTCTCTCAGGTTTAAAATGTTGTAGTTTTAACATGAATAAGGTTTTTCTACTATGTGTTCAGCATCAGGTTGCACTACCTTCATAAAACCAGATGGAGACAGGTTGATTTACACCAGCTGAAAATTTGACTGTGGGTATTTACTGTGTTGACATATAACAGCCTCTCTGATCCTGTGCTGTTTTGTTTCCTTCTATGGAGTTGTTTGAGTTGTTTGCAGATGCCATCATTTGTCTTTTGAATCTCTTTTTAGCTTGGTAAATGATTGTGAAAGGGAAAGGAAAGGAAGAAAGAAAAGAAAGAAAAGGAAAAAGAAAAAAAAACAAAAAAAGGAAAATTTTATTTGAGTGAGTTCAAATGTAACAATGATCTGGAGGTGACTGAAAGGGTGATCTGGTGACTTGTAGGAGCTAAATGTTAGAATTGCAGTTGAATTTTCAGTAGACTGATCATAATTGTTCATATATTTGGTGGAGAACCAGAGCGTAAATGGGTGGAGATAGCACTGAATTAGGGCTAGAGAAAGTGTCCATGACAAAGCCCATGAGTTGTTTGTCTTAGTTGAGTGTCTGACCTTGTGATTATTGTAAAAGTAGGAATAATGCTTTTGCTCTTTTGCCTGTTGTAATAGAACAGAATGTGGGAAGTGCATTTGTCTATGGACAAAAGATTTTTTCTCTAGGTCTTTCACTGCAAGATTTTTTTCCTGAGCACTAATATACCATGAGGGGAAGAAAAGTCAATATAACTGAACTGGATTTACACTAAGTAAGTGGATTTCCAGGCTGTGGTCTCTGCATACATGGCAGGCAATGTGAAGAATGTCTTTGAGACCCTATTATCTTTGTTTTTTTCCTTTCATTTTCAGGTAGAGGTTTAGTAATAAGGTGCAGAGGTACCTGTGGCAAATTTTGAGGGCTGAAACATACCACTTCTTTGAGTTTATTAAAAGCCAATCTGGATCTGTGCTAAGCAGAACTATTTTCTTTCACACATAGTTGTAAATGGAAAGAGAAAGAAGATTACAGCTTTGTTACACAGCAAGTAACAGGAGAAAATCTAGGTGTAACTGAACACAGATGAAGAGCCTTGCAGGAACGTGACATAAGCTTGCATTGTATCTTGTTTTTGTTTTTGTTTTCTAATATGAAACCCCAGGAATTTAAGAATATGGGTAAACAAACATTTGCAGGACATATTCTGAGAAGACAATGTATACAACTGTATCTTGTAATTTGCATGTCTGTGTACAGCCCCACTGCTCCAAAAATAAACGATAATTGTGGATCAGCCCATGAGCTGGAATCACCAGCAGTTCAGAATTGGACAACATCGTACTTTGAGGCTTGCACGCTTTAGTGGTTAGCATTGATCTGTTCGGTGCAATGAATTTGCTACTGAATTACAAGAAATTGCAAACCAAAATGGACAAAACGTTAAAGAAATGGGAAGTAATTGCATTAGAATAATTAAGTTAGAATTTGTCTTATAGTTGTCAAGATTGACATTTAATTCTCATTAAACACAGGCTGCATTATTATTATTTGATCTATCTAGAGGAACACAGCAGAGATCCAGCCTTGTATCCATTAAGATCCAAGTCCAAGGATGAGTTTGTTTCAGTTTCCACATGACGCTCTCACTGAAGGTCACACTGTTTGCCATTTGTTACTTGCCTTTTCAAACACGTTTCTTTTTGTTGAGGAGATGCATTTCTAGGTGGCTGCTTTTGGTGTAGCTGGAGGCAGGATGTCTGGTGATTGGCTGAACCTGGTGAGTCAGAGCTGTGGACCTCACGTTGCCTTTGTGTTATGAAATTGTATTGGACTTGTTTGGAGCAGTCATTCCAAAATGACCCGTTTCTTTTGTAACGTCTGCTTTTTTTCTCCCTTCCTCCTCACCAAGTGAAAGGAAGAAAGTGAGGTGTTACCTTGTAGACAGTGTTTATACATCCTCAGTCACTTCAGGCCACAAATGCTTCTGGTTGGGAGCTGCCACGTGATTGTCTGTGGCTCAGGCTGCCTGCATAGCATCAGCAAACACTGACCTGCTTCAGCCCACATCGCCTAACTTTCTTCTGGGTTGGTAATTTTCTATCTTCAGTTGATTTCCAGTCACTAGGATGACTCTGTAGGCAACTGTACCAGTTCCTG